ACTTAGGAGGCTGAGGCAGGAGAATCACTTGAATCCAGGAGGCAGAGGTTGCAGTGAGCCGAGATCATGCCACTGCACTCCAGCATGGGCAACAAGAGTGAAATTCCGTCTCTCTCTCTCTCTCTCTCTCTATATATATATATATATATATATTAGCCAGGTGTAGTGGCACAAGCCTGTTATCCCAGCTCCTCAGGAGGCTGAGATACAAAATCACTTGAGCCCTGTGAGGCAGAGGTTACAGTGGGCTAAGGTCATGCCCCTGCACTCCAGCATGGGTGACAGAGGGAGACTCTGTCTCAAACAAAAAAAAAACAAACCAAAAATGGACAAAGGATTTGAACAGACATTTCTCCAGAACAGATATACAAATGGCCAATAAGCATATGACAAGATGCTCATTAGTTATTAAGAAAAAGCAGGGCCAGGCACGGTGGCTCAAGCCTGTAATCCCGGCACTTTGGGAGGCTGAGGCAGGTGGATCACGAGGTCAAGAGATCGAGACCATCTTGGTCAACATGGTGAAACCCCGTCTCTACTAAAAATACAAAAAATTAGCTGGGCATGGTGGCGCCTGCCTGTAATCCCAGCTACTCAGGAGGCTGAGGCAGGAGAATTGCCTGAACCCAGGAGGTGGAGGTTGCAGTGAGCCGAGATTGCGCCATTGCACTCCAGCCATTGGCCTGGGTAACAAGAGTGAAACTCCGTCACAAAAAAAAAAAGAAAAGAAAAGCAAGTCAAAACCATGAGATGCCACTTCACATCCACTAGACAGCTATAATGAAAAAAGACGACAGCAGGCCATGGCAACAAAGCAGAGAAATGGGAATCCTCATGCATTGCTGATATGAATGCAAAATGGCGCAGCTACTTTGAAAACCAGTTTGGCAGTTCCTTAAAAAGTTAAAGACAGGGTTACCATGTGATCCAGCAATTCTGCTCCTGGGTATATATCCAAGAGAACTAGAACATATGTTCAGACAAAAACTTCTGAACCAATGTGCATAGCAGCATTATTCATAATAGCCAAAAAGCAGAAACATCCTAAATGTAAAACTGATGGATGAACAAAATGCAGCATATCTGTTTAACAAAATATTATTCTGCCAGAGAAAGGAACAAAGTACTAAGACACACTCTAATACAGATGAACCCCAAAAACATGCTCAGTGAAAGAAAACACAAAATTCCACATTGTATGATTCTATTTGTATAAAATGTCCAGAATAGGAAATCCTTAAGAAACAGAAAGTAGATTCGTGGTTATCAGGAGCTGGGAGGAAGGGGGAAGGGAAAGGACCGCTAATGGATATAAGGTTTATTTTGGGGTGATGAAAATGTTCAGAGATTAGTACTGATGGTTGCACAATCTGTGAACATACTAATAATTGAACTGTACTTTCTGTGGTTTTTTTGGAGACACGGTTTCACTGTTGCCCAGGCTGGAGTGTAGTGGCCTGATCTAGTCTCACTGCATCCTCTAACTCCTGGGCTCAAGTGATTCACGTGCCTCAGCCTCCTGAGTAGCTGGGATTACAGGTGCGTGCCTCCACACCTGGCTATTTTTGTATTATTAGTAGAGGTAGAGTTTCACTATGCTGACCAGGCTGGTCTCAAACTCCTGACCTCAGGTGATCCGCCCACCTCAGCCTCCCAAAGTGCTGGGATTGCAGGCATCAGCCACCACACCTGGCCCGAATTGTGCACATCTTTAAATGGTAAATTTTCCAGGCTGGGCAACATGATGAGACTCCGTCTCCACTAAAGATACAAAAATATAGCCGGGTGTGGTGGTGCACACCTGTAGTCCCAGCTACATGGGAGGCTGAGGTGGGAGGATTGCTTGAGCCTTGAGGACAGAAGTTGCAGCGAGCTGAGCTCGCACCACTGCATTCCAGCCTGGGTGACAAAGTGAGACTCTGTCTCAAAAAAAAAAAAACATTAATGGTAAATTTTAAGGTATAATACCTATATTTTTAAAAACATTACTATCTATATTTTTCAAATGTTAATCAAATTAAATAATATATAGATTATTTAATATCTATATTTTTAAAATGTTAATATCTGTATTTTAAAAAACATTAAATATATTGAATATAGTATAGAATAATATCTATATATTTTTCAGTTAATTAAATTAAAAATTTTTTAAATACTGGCTACTGTAGTAGATGATCTTTCAGCTCTGACCCAAGATTCTCGTGTCTTCTACCAGGAACCTGGAAAGAGCTGCAGGCCAGTTTGTTACAGAGTATTAACATTATCATGAGAAATTTCTTTTATCTTTTTTTTTTATTGCATTTTAGGGTTTGGGGTACATATGCAGAACATGCAAGATAGTTGCATAGGTACACACATGGCAGTGTGATTTGCTGCCTTCCGCCCCTTCACCCAAATCTGGCATTTCTCCCCATGCTATCCCTCCCCAGCTCCCCCACCCACTGTCCCTCCCCTATTCCCCCCAATAGACCCCAGTGTGTAGTACTCCCTTCCCTGTGTCCATGTGTTCTCATTGTTCAACACCCGCCTATGAGTGAGAACATGCGGTATTTCATTTTCTGTTCTTGTGTGAGTTTGCTGAGAATGATGTTCTCCAGATTCATCCATGACCCTACAAAGGACACGAACTCATCGTTTTTGATTGCTGCATAATATTCCATGGTGTATATGTGCCACATATTCCCAGTCCAGTCTATCGATGGGCATTTGGGTTGGTTCCAGGTCTTTGCTATTGTAAACAGTGCTGCAATGAATGTTCGTGTGCATGTGTCCTTATAGTAGAATGATTTATAGTCCTTTGGAAATATATCCAGTAATGGGATTGCTGGGTCAAATGGAATTTCTATTTCTAGGTCCTTGAGGAATCGCCACACTGTCTTCCACAATGGTTGAACTAATTTACACTCCCGCCAGCAGTGTAAAAGTGTTCCTATTTCTCCACATCCTCTCCAGCATCTGTTGTCCTTTTTTTTTTTTTTAAAGAGACATGGTCTCACTATGTTGCCTAGGCTGGTCCTGAACTCCTGGGCTCAAGTGATCCTTCTGCTTCAGCCTCCCAAAGTACTGGGATTATAGCTGTAAACACCGTACCTGGTCTGAAAATTTCTTTTTAAAACCCTACTCCTGGCCGGGCACGGTGGCTCACACCTGTAATCCCAGCACTTTGGGAGGCTGAGGTGGGCAGATCACCTGAGGTCGGGAGTTCAAGATCAGCCTGACCAACATGGAGAAACACCACCACTGCTAAAAGTACAAAATTAGCTGAGCGTGGTGGCACAGGCCTGTAATCTCAGCTACTCAGCAGGCTGAGGCAGGAGAATCGCTTGAACCCGGGAGGTAGAGGTTGCAGCCAGCCAAGATCACGCCTGGGCTGGAGTGAAACTCCACCTCAAAAAACAAAAACAAAACCCTACTCCTTATCTAAAGCACAGCTCAAATCTTTCCTATGAGGCTGGTCCAAGTTTGAGCTGAAAGAAAGCACTATGGGGAGGGCTGCCGCTTTCTGTGAAGGGGACGAGGACCGAATGTTCCCTTACCATGGTGAGGGACAGCATGGAAAAGCAAGCCCCAGGTGCTGGGCTCTGGAATGGGGTCTACAGGGAGAAGGGACAGAGAGGTGGCAGCATTGCTCAGCATCTCACCTCCCCAGACCACTGTAGGAAACACATGTAGGGTTCCTCTGCCCACTTCATTGTCAACAACAGGTTGGACCAGACTGCCAAAATGGGGAAGGAGAACCAGCCCCAGTACGCTCATCTACCAGGTGCAAGGAATCCCCCACCCTGCCCCTTTGATTGAATATGATTTCATTTATTGGATCAAAATGACTTACTATGCTCCAATACCATTTTCTTCTCTCTGTCAGACAAAACATAATAGGCCCATCTTTCATTTGGCGTGTTATTTCCACATCTTATAGGTTACATGATTTGGCACAAAGCAAGAAACATGGGACCCGGGAGCAACTGAGCCTGGATTTGACTCGTAACTGACCGCTCACTAGGTATGTATACTTAGCTGAGGGACTTGACCTCTCAGAGCCTTGGCAGCCTCAGCTCCAAGATGAGGGCATTACCACCACCCAGAGTTACAATAATAACTTAAAAAAAACACATGAACGAAGCATGTAGCTCATTTCCTAGAGCATACCTGACGGTTAGAATGTAGTAAATGGTGTAAAGGAAGAAAGTACAACTTGGGCAGAGATGACTGAGTGTGTAACTGGCTGGCAAGGGAACATGGAAATCATGAAAATTTTGAAAAATGCCTGGCATGCTACAGGGGTTCCACAGAGGTGAGTTTCTCTCATCCTTCTTCCAGGACTGAGCTCCTTGAAGGCAAGGACTAGGCTGTTGATCTTTAAGCACGCCAAAGGGGGGACACAATATTTTGTATGTAGTAGATGCCCAAAAGAGCATCAGGGGGCGCTTTGATAGATCACACTTTCATTCTCCTTTCATCTGTATGTCAAATGCATTTGCTACAAAATTTAAGCATTTATATTGTGTTGTAACTATTTCAGGTTTGTTGGTCTGGCCGCCCCAAAGAGACAGTAAGGTTCCTGGGGTCAAAAATGCGATTGCTTACATCCTACTCTCTAAGTCCTAGTAACACAGCCCACTGACCGAATCAGCTCATTTCAAAGTCAAATAGGGCTCTCTATTGCCAAAGGATCAGCAGCTGAGCCCTAACAAGGTCCCTCCCTAAAATGAAGCTGCCTCAACCCAAAATGCCAAGTAGGCTGACCAGCCATCCAGGTGTACAAGGATAAAGAGTGGGGCTAACCACCCGGGATGCCAGTTTAGCATTTCAATGCTAAAAGTAGGAAACTCCTGGGCCAACTGATGCGCTGGTTACCAGTTACCAATGAGTGACTGTTTGCACTATCATAGCTCTCAAACGTCTTTAAGAAACTGGGGAAATTAAGTTACTAGCAGGTTACTAAGTCATATGGGGAAGGCGTAGGGAGACAAGCAGCCTATTGTGAGAATAAATACCTTAGAAACGTCCAGTGGAAGATTGCCAACATACACCTCTGTCTCTCTTTTCTTGAATCCTAAGAAGAAAAACAGCATTAAATGGGACTTAGAACACATAATTCACTTTTTCTATTTCTTTTTCTTTTTTTTTTTTTTTGTTTGAGACAGAGTCTTGCTCTGTCACAAGGCTGGAGTGCAGTGATATGATCATAACTCACTACAACCTTGACCACCCAACTCCACACAATCCTCCTACCTCAGCCTCCCAAGTAGCTGGGACTAAAGGGACATGGTGCCATGCCTGAATATTTTTTTTTTGATAGAGATAAGGTCTCTCTGTGTTGCCCAGGCTGGTCTCAAATTCCCGGGCTCAAGCAATCCTCCTAGCTCAGTCTCCCAAAGTCCTCGGAGAAACCCCATCTCTACTAAAAATACAAAATTAGTTGGGCATGGTGGCATGTGCCTGTAATCTCAGCTACTTGGGATGCTGAGACAGGAGAATCACTTGAACTCGGGAAGCCGGAGATTGCAGTGATCCGAGATCGTGCCACTGCACTCCAGCCTGGGCAACAAGAGCGAAACTCCATCTTAAAAAAAAAAAAAAAATTGATAAAAAGAATTTTAAAAATATTCCCATGCACATACATGCCTACAAACATGCCCCCACCCCCATGAACACTGAATGGCTATACTGTACCCAATCATTTAGCAACACTTATCAATATTAAGGAGTGGTCCATGATAAGGGATATGCTGACTGTGCATATCCCTGCCTTCCTGGCAGGGATCACTCTGCAGGGACAGAGAGCCATGGGCACACCAGGAATTCACTGGCAAGTTATTATGAAGTGAGGGTGTTATTAGGAAGTGTTTTGGGACCCATGGGGTTGTGGTTCCCCAAGTTAACATTAAGCAGACAGTGGGGAACATGCAGGGGGCCAGGGAAATGCAGGAGGGAGGCTGAAGGGAATCCAAGCAGATGAACAGCCCATGCCAGGACATGGAGATATGAAAAAGCTCAGCAGATTTGGGAAACTGCTCATGGCCAGTACTGGGTGCCAGGTGGATTGCACACTTCATGCAGCAAGTGGTGAGAGAGGAGGCTAGAAAGGCAGGTGGAGCCAAACTACGAAATCATGGAAGGCTGTACTACAGCAGTAACAGTTTATTCCACTGGCTGGGAGATGTGGGTGGGGGCTGTAACTGGCAAGTGAGTGTCAATAAACCTCGGTTTCAGAAAGATCACTTTGGAGATTGTAGAGAGCAAACTGGAATAAGGCACAAATGAAACAGAAGCACAGGGTCAGGAGTGGCAGGTGCACCAGAGAGTAAGGGTCTGCATCGCAGCAGCAGCAGGGGCCACATCCTTCATGCGACAGGAAACATGGTGGCTGACTGGAAGAAGAGCAGCAGCTAAGCAGATCCCAAGTTTCACATTGAACAGAAACTGGGCAGACTGGGAACCATTAACTGGGATCCAGGTTATAGGATGAGAGTCCCAGCATCAGCAAATCACCCAGCCTAACTTACCTGGAGATTTCTGCTCCTCCAATACTCCATTCTTCCCAACCAGTTTAGCAGAAGGTTCAGAGTCACTGCTGTTCCAGGACCTGTCAAAAACAGGTGTCAGCACTGAACCTCCCAAGCTCAGACTCCGACAAAAGGAAACACGTGCCAGGCATAAGCAGAGGGGCCTTGCATAAACCTCCTTTCCCCTTCCTGACCAAGGGCTTCCCTTCCTCCTCCCAGAACCAGGCTCCAAGCCAAGAAGCCTGCCACTGGACCTTTTAAATCACTAACAGTTAAAGCATACTTAGGGTTAGGATTGACCAGCAAGAGATGATAGGGTGATTCTTAAGCCCTGGGCACGGTAAGGCAGGAATGGGAGAAAGAGAAGGCTAGGCGATGGAGTGAGGCTTGCTTATGAGCAAAGGGAAGGGACTTACATGCTGCAGTTGCTTTCCAACAGGATTTCCTGCAAAGCCGAAGGGCCACAGTTAGAGGAATGCCAGGATAATCCACCACTATATAATCATTGAATAGGTAATATGGTAAGCAGAATAATGCCCCTCAAAAGCAGTACACATCCTAATCCTTAGAACCTATGAATATATTAGGTTTCATGGCAAGGTTGCAGATGGAGTTAAGGTTGTCCATAAACTGACGAAACAGGCCTGGCATGGTGACTCACCTCTGTAATCCCAACACTTTGAGATACCAAGGTGGGTGGATCACCAGAGGTCAGGAGTTTGAGACCAGCCCAGCCAACTTGGCCAAACCCCATCTCTACTAAAATTACAAAAATTAGCTGGGTGTGGTGACAGGCACCTGTAATCCCAGTTACTCAGGAGACTGAGGCAGGAGAATCGATTGAACTCGGGAGGCAGAGGTTGCAGTGAGCCGAGATTGGGCCACTGCACTCCAGCCTGGGTGACAGAGTGAGACAATGTCTCAAAAAAAGAGAGAGAGAGAGATGTGATAACAGAAGCAAAGTTAGAGTGATGTGACATGAGAAGGACTCGACTACTGTTGTTGGCTTTGAAGATGGAGGAAGGGGCCACACGCCAAGGAATGCTGGCAGCGTCTGGAAGCTGCAAAAGTCAGGAAAATGGATTCTCCAATTAAAGCTTCCAGAAGGAACACAATCCTGCTGAAACCTTGATTTTAGCCCACAAAGATGTGTGTCAATCTTGTGACTTACAGAGCTGTGGGATAATATATTTGTGTTGTTTAAGCCACTGAGGTTTTCGTCTTTTGTTATGAAAGCAAATAGAAAACAAATACAGAGAGCATGTGCAACTTTAAAACCACACACAGTATAGGTGATGGGGAGGAAGGCAGCACATCACACTGCCATGTGTGTACCTACGCGACAATCTTGCATGTTCTTCACATGTACCCCAAAACCTAAAATGCAATAAAAAATAAAATAAAATAATGAAAACCACACACAGCTCTGCACAGTGGAAAGAACAGTACTTTTGGAGTTAGATGCATCTGTAAGTCTGCCCCAGAGACCTTGGAAATTTCATCTGTCCAGTCAGAATCAAAACACCCATGTCATAGATCATGGCAGTGAAGCGAGATACTGCACTTAAAGCGCTTGTCATGTGTCAAGACCTCAATAAACGATAGCCATTTTGGTGTTTTTTTGTTTTGTTTTCTTAGATGAAGTTTCACTCTTGTTGTTCAGGCTGGAGTGCAGTAGTGCAATCTCAGCTAATTGCAACCACCGCCTCCTGGATTCAAGTGATTCTCCTGCCTCAGCCTCCCAAGTAGATGGGATTATAGGCACCCATCACCATGCCTTGCTAATTTTTTGTGTTTTTAGCAGAGACAGGGTTTCACCACATTGGCCAGAATGGTCTCAAACTCCTGACCTCAGGTGATCTGGCCTCCCAACGTGCTAGGATCACAGGCATGAGCCACCACACTCGGCCATTGTGTTTATTTTTATGGCTTTTATTGGCACTTTCCTACAACTCCATGAGTATTATCTTCCCATTTTACAGATGAGAAAATGAAGCTCAAGGATATCAGGTGATTTTATAAAATTATAAAAGATACTGAGATAACTCAGTCCTATGATTCCAAAGCTTTGGTCCTCTTTCTATAGATAACAAAGCTATCAAAGACATTTTAAAGGGCTTTTTTCCCCTGTACTTTAGGGAAAACATAAATTAAAACAGTAAATTTTAAAATAAAACAGTAACTCCTTCTCTAAATTATGCCCAGCTGTAGGAGGGAACAACAATTTTAGCTGCAACCAATTCTAAATAGAACTAAAAGTAGTTCAGATAATTAAAAGACTTAGGTATGGATGGATAAAAATGGAGAGGTTTTTGGGCAAAATCAGAGATCTAGGATGTTAGTCCCAGTTCCTGGTAATTCCTGGAAAAGTCTATGGGCTTCTGGAATAGAACAGGCACTGAGACCTCCCAAGCCAAGGGCCGGCATAAATCTGTCCAAGATGCCTTTAAGGGCCTGCCAGGTACTATGCTAAGCGGCTAATACGCAGTCTCATTTAATCCTCGCTCAAACTCTAAGAGGGAGACATTGTTAACCCATTTTACAGGTGAAGTCCCAGAGGTACGATAACCTAGTATTTGGCCAAGATCACTTAGTATCTATGCTCACAAATGGGAGAAGTTTGTTTTTGTTTTGAATCCAAATGATAGGATTCCAAAGTCCTGAATTTCCTTCTGTTGTTTGATCTGGAGAAGTATCCTATTTGTGTTATTTTTGTTGTTGTTGTTATTGTTGAGACAAGTTCTTACTCTTTCACCCAGGATGGAGTGCAATGGTGTGATCTCTGCTCACTGCAACCTCTGCCTCCCAGGTTCAAGTGATTCTCCCACCTCAGCCTCCCAGATAGCTGGGACTACAGACACGTGCCACCGTATCTGGCTAATTTTTATTTTTAGTAGAGACAGGGTTTCACCATGTTGGCCAGGATTTGTGTTTTTAAAAAGACCTAAAGAATCCATAAAGAACTCCTACAACTCACCAACAAAGACAAAAAATAAACCGATTAAAAATCAAGCAAAGGATCTGCTAGACATTTCTCTAGAGATAAACGAACGGCCAATAAGCACATGAAAAGATGTTCTGCATCTTTAGCTATCAGGAAAATGTAAATCAAAACCACAATGATAAACGTTTTATCAACCAGGATGGCTACGAGTAAAAAGACTCTAACAAGTGTTGAGGACATGAAGAAACAGGAACCCTCATATTGCTGGTGGGAATGTAAAATGGTGCAGCCACTCTGGAAAAGTTTGTCAGGTTCTCAAGAAGTTAAACAGAGAATTAACATATGACCCAGCAAGTCCATTCTTGGGTAACTATTCAAGAGAAATTCAAATACATGTTCACACAGACTTTTCCACAAATATTCATATTAGTGTTGCTCATAATAGCCAAAAAGTGAGAACAATCCAGATATCCATTAACTGATTAATTAATGAAGTGTGGTATGTCTACACAATGGAATATTATTTGGTAATATAAAAGGAATGAAGTACTTATACATGCTATATAACCTGGACGAATCTCAAAAATGATGCTAAGGGAAAGAAGGCCACATATTACATGATTCCACCTGTCTGAAAAGTCCTGAAGAGACAAATCTGTACAGACAGAAAGTAAATTAGTGGCTGTCTAGGATTGAGAGATGGAGAGGGGAATGAGGAGCGACTCCTAATTGACGGGAGATTTCTTTTGAGGGTGATGGAGATGTTCTAAAATTAGATTGTTGTGATGGTTGTACTGTAAACACACCAAATATACTGAAAACACTTGAGGTGTACACTTAAAAGGGTGAATTTTATGGTGTGTGAATTATATCTCAATAAGCTTTATTTAAAAAAAAAAAGTCAACACACATTTTAAAGAATGGTCAGTAAGAGCATGCATTTCTTTCACTTTCCCATCTCACAAAGCACCACCCACACACACGAAGCTGTCCACGGCCGCCATCATTCCATTTCCATGAATTGCACATGAGGACTCGGTGTTGATCAGCCCCTGGAGCACATTTAGTTTGCTAAACTAAAAGATTTCCGTTTAGTAAACTAAGTTTAAATTTTGTTTTTTGAACCAGAAAGTGTGTGTGTGTGTGTGTGAGACTGAGTCTCACACTGTCGCCCAGGCTGGAGTATACTGGGGCGATCTCGGCTCACCTTAACCTCTGCCTCCCCAGTTCAAGCTCTTCTGCTTCAGTCTCCCGATAAACTGGGATTACAGGCGTGCGCCACCACGCCCGGCTAATTTTTGTATTTTCAGTAGAGACGGAGTTTCGCCATAAGACACCGCGCGCAGCCTCAGAAAGTTTTTAAACAGCTTCAAAGGAAAGGGGGAATGACACAGGCGTCTTTTCCCATAAAGTGGCCACCGTTCCGCACACTGTGCTCCCCACCTGCACAGATCCCGACTAGGAGGTCAGCTCCCACCCGACTCGAGCGAGCGACTGCCCCGCGGGAACAGCGCCCCCTTTCCCCATTTCTATGGGGACGAGGGCGGCTTCCATCGCTGCCTGACGACGCCGCTGACCCCCAACCCTCCCTCAGCAGTCCGGGACCTGGGGCCGGGAGTCCTACCTCGTCTCGCGTCAACCAGCGGTCGCGACGCCCAGCCCTCGCGCTTTCTCACTCCGCGCTCCGCCTCCTGGGAGCCCGCGGGGCGAGAAGCGCGGGGCGGGGCTTGCCGGGAGCCAATCCCCGGCGGCCGCGGCGGGGCGCGCCGGGTCTCCGCGGCGCCCAGGACTCTGTGCTCCTGAGGGTAACGGAACGAGAGCAGGAGCGGGTGACCGTTGTCCCTGCGTCCGACTCTTAGCGGGCAACCACTGCCCCACCACCAAAAATAATGTTTGCAGAAAGAGCAGAACGGAGTGGGTGGGCGAGGGGCGCCTGGCGCTGTGCGGGCCGACGGGCGTCCTTCCTGGGGCGGGCGGCGCACGTGGCACACTCCTGGGCGCGTGGGACGGCAGCGCCGGGCCGAGACGCCCTAGGTGCCGATGCGGGCAGTGGGCAGCAGTCGGGAGCTCTCGGCCCAGGAGGGGCGCGGCCGGTCCGCACGTGCGGCCACCGCCCCCGGACCCGCCCCTGCCGTGGCGCCCACCCCGCGAGCCCTGGCTCTGGGCCGGAGGTGGCGGGGCTGGGAGGCGCCAGCCGTGGAGGGGAGGGGCGCGCGGAGGGGATGGGCCGCCCGCCGTCCGTCCACCGTCTGTTGCGGCGCCGGGGACACTCCCGCCGCCTCCGCTCGGTCCCCTCTGGTCCTGGGAGCGTGGGCCGGGCTGCAGGGGGCTTCCGTGGGCCTGGCCTCTCCCACCGCGGGAGGAAAGAGTGGGGAAATCCCCCGGCGCCCGCCGCCTCCGAGAGCCACGGTGTCCTCGGGCCGGGCAGGCGCTGAAGACGAGCCCGGGCGGGGCCCCTGCGCGTCGTGCCTGTCGCCGGCCGTGTCCGGAGCGGAGGCCAGCGCCCGCCCGCTCGGCGCCCCGGGCCGCGAGGACCCCACCCTACCGGGCGTGGGCGACGGCCGGCCGGGGGCGCGCGGAGCAGCCGTCGCGGGGCCTCGTCGCGGCCTCCAGCGCCCGAGTCACGGGGAATGCAGTGGCCCCCGACCCCTGGCGCCTCTCCGTGTCTGGGCTGGGCCTCCTCGCTCGCCTGCTCCACCGCCGCGACGCTCCTGGTCCGAGCCGGCCGGGGCCCCCTCATGGCGGCCAAGTGGTTCAAGGAGTTCCCCCTGAACCTGAAGACCGTGTCGGAGCGGGCCAAGCCTGGGGGCGGCGGCGGCGGCAAACTGCGCAAGAACTCGGAGGCGGGCGGCGCGGGGCCGGGCCCCGGCAAGGGCCGCAAGAACTCGGCGGCCGAGCTGGGGAGCGGCAGGGCCGGCGTCGGCCCCAAGGACAGCCGGCTGTCCCGTGACAGCCTGCAGGGTCTGATTCAGGCCGCCGCGGGCAAGAACCGCAAAAACTCCCGGGCCACGGAGGAGGAGCCCCACCGGGGTGCGACCAAGAGCTCGGGCTGCAGCACCTACATCAACAGGCTCATCAAGGTGGACACTCAGGAGAAGAACGGGAAAACCAACTACCCCAGCAGCAGCAGCAGCTCCAGCTCCAGCTCCAGCTCCTCTTCCTCGGCGTCCTCTTCCCCTTCCTCCCTGGGGCCCGAGCTGGACAAGGGCAAGATTATTAAGCAGCAAGACACGGTAAGCATATAGCCTCCGTTGGACCCCCTCTCAGTGGGAGGGGAGCCCGGGGCACCTGCTAAGCCCTTGGCTTCTTTAGACCTAAGAGGGGGTGAGAATAGGTTTCCTAAGGTCCTTTCTCCTTCCACCGTTTGGGGACTCCTGAGTGACCATTTACAACTCTTAGACTTTTTTTAGTCTTGAAAAATTCTTCTAGGGGTGGGGAGCTTTGCAGAAATGTACTAGCCATTGAATTTTGTTAGCAGTTTAGAAGTGTCGTTGAATGAGATATTCCTGTTTGGTTAAATTTGACCCCTTTATAGATGTGATTTATTTTAATTTTGATATTCAGGGGAATTGCAAAACTAGACTTGTGTATGACTTTTGCGCTTCTCGAGCATAAGAAATGGTAACCTCTAAACTGAGTAACTATGCATTTCAAAGCTTCAGGAAATGGGTTGGCCAACCCCGGTCTCCACTGATTTGGAATCTGCATTCTCTGCAGTTCTACCTAGTAAAAGGCTATGTGGAGCTTCAGCAAATCTCCAAGACTACTGCCCTTTCATTCATTCCATAGGCATTTGTTTTGCAGCAGCCATATAGGAAAAGGGGCACCGGGCATTAAGGGCTGTGGGGATACAGAAAATGACAAGGAAATGCACTCAAGGAAATTACAGATGAGAAGAGAAGGTGTTTCCTGCCGCGGACACACTGGAGGTTTTCTGGGTGCTGTCCAATGTGGAAAAGCTAAGAAAAGGAGTGTGAACGTAGGAAGGGACGCCCTCCATTCTTACTGAGATGAGTTGGTCTGTTTGATTTGCTTGTTTTTATCTTCTCTCCGATGTGAAAGGGAGAGAAGAGCTCAGACTTGAGATTTCAGACTCTGGTCCAGGCAATCTCTTCCTAACATGGGAGCTTTAATTTTCTCCTGCCCAGGCTTCAAACATGCTGCCTCCCTGGATGAAGTCAAGGGCCTGTAGGACATGCTATGTATGTCTGCATTGAGCACTTCTTTTCATTTCTCCATTCATTTTTTTCATGCTCTAAACATAGCATGCCCACCCTGAGCCAGGCACTGAGAGGAGAGCAGTGTAAAAGATGAACGGGGCCCAGCTCATTCAGTGCCCACCTGACTGGGTGACTAGACCACAAGCACCTTGAAGCCAAGGGCTGAGTATCATCTTAGGTTCTTCACTGTATCTTGCAGCTGCAGTACACATGGTGGGTAGTCAAGAAAAACGGATTGAGTAAGTGAATGGCAGTCACAGCCCCTTGCCGTGGTTGTCTGGTCATGTTCATGTTTGTCACTTCTGGGTGTATGAGGTTTCTGAGGCTTTTTCCAGGCTGTTACCTCCCCTTCACTTCTCCTCATTTGTCTGAATTCTTACCAACTCCAGCGTTACTTTTAAACTCTTTGGAGAATGTAATCAGAGGCTGTGGAGCTTCCTGCCTGAGAAGGGTACCTAACCTCTGGAGTTGTCACCCATGACACACACACCACCTCCTCAGACACCTTCTATTTTTGGAAAGATAGATGCTTTCTGACCCAAAACAGGGAATCCCACATAGTGATCAAAACCCTGTCTGATCTGTAGCCTGTGACGATCAGTTTGCCTGTAATTATTGAACCTAGAACTCCTGCAATACTGTTTAGCACTGACCTACTTCTCATCTATGAAGCCCATCTCTTTGGAGCTGTGATCCACTCCTTGAGGGCAGGAAGCATGTCGAAGGTTTATTTTGACTCCCTCTCAGTGCGTAGCCAGCGCTGGTGGATGACTGACTGACTCATCATGACTGTACTGCTCAGCTGATTGGAGTTTTAAAAACTCAATTCATAGGATATGTGGTAAAGCCACATACCTTTTATGCTGTAAAGCCACAGATACCCTTTACTCCCCACATCCACCCCTGCCATCCTCTAACCCAGAAAATGTTTTACTTCTTGGGGAGAGAAAGGGAGGTAAAGAGAGCCTTGGGGATAAGTGAAAGAGTTTACAGGAATTGTTGCAAACCAGCTATACTACCAAAAAAGTCAGATGTTTGTCTAACTAGGACCCATGATCAAGTGCGAAAGCTATCTGGAACTGATTAGAGATTCTGACCTCTTTGGAGATGCAGGAGATGTCAGTAGCCATTTCGATACCATTGCCATGTTGGTATGTGGTGGTCCTTAGCAACTGTCTCCTCTTGTTCTTATACAGGTCATCATTTTAGAAGACTATGCTGACCCTTATGATGCCAAACGGACAAAGGGTCAAAGGGATGCAGAGAGAGTCGGAGAGAACGACGGTTACATGGAACCGTATGATGCGCAGCAAATGATAACAGGTTTGTAAGCAGGCTCTCCATAATAGAGACTGAAATCTCTTGGTCAGAGAGAGTGTTGTAATGTAGCAACTGGAGTATATGGGAGAAGAGGGACAAAGCAATTTAACCAGATCCTGCTGACTTGGAGAAACAGAAATTAGACCCCAAACTAATGTCAGACTATCTAGGTAACTTCCTTTATGATTTAGTATCCTTCAGAGTTTTAGAATTTGCGGGAGTCTTTAAAGTTTTTCTGGTTCTATGCTAGATGACATTTATGAATGCAGATCTGCTCAGAATGTGATGTTCAGTTTTAACACGAATATATACATTTCGGGGCCGCTTTCAGAAGCTTTAACATTCATAATGGGAGCCGTATGTCTTACCAAGGAACAAATACATACTTAAGGCATTTTAAGCGGTTAAAAAATGTAAGCATAGCCAGGCGCAGTGGCTCACTGCAGTGCCTTTAATCCCAGCACTTTGGGAGACTGAGGTGGGCAGATCACATGAGGCCAGGAGTTTGAGACCAGCCTGGCCATTATAGCAAAACCCCATCTCTACTAAAAATACAAAAATTAGCTGGGCGTGGTGGTTTGTAATACCAGCTATTTGGGAAGCTGAGGCACGAGAATCAATTGAACCAGGGAGGTGGAGGTTGCAGCAAGTCAAGATCGCGCCACTGCCCTCTAGCCTGGGCAACAAAGTGAAACCGTCTCAAAAAAAAAAATGCAGACCTGGTGTGATCCTCTACTTTGTAGTAGAAGATTTTCTCAACAAGTTGTACAACATTGAAGCCAAAAATTTAATTACTAAGGAATAATTAACAATCACTGCCATAAACCAAGCCATTCAAGGCAAACCACCTAAAACCAAACTGGACTAATATTGTAACTTTTCAAGTCAGGACAATTTCAGTTTGTGAGCTAAGCAGTCACTCTGTCATTCTTAGTGTCAGAGTTTTCCCTTTTATTTTTAATTCTCTGAAGTTGATGTAATGATACTTAAATAAAAATAATACAGTTATTTAGATTTGTGAACTTTTTTTTTTTTTTTGAGACAGTTTCGCTCTTGTTACCCAGACTGGAGTGCAATGGTGCGATCTCAGCTCACCGCAACCTCTGCCTCCTGGGTTCAGGCAATTCTCCTGCCTCAGCCTCCTGAGTAGCTGGGATTACAGGCACGCACCACCATGCCCAGCTAATTTTTTGTATTTTTAGTAGAGACGGGGTTTCGCCATGTTGACCAGGATGGTCTCGATCTCTCGACCTTGTGATCCACCCACCTTGGCCTCCCAAAGTGCTGGGATTACAGGCTTGAGCCACCGCGCCCGGCCAGATTTGTGAACTTTTTATGTAGTCACCTAGTTTTCCGTACACATTCTTCGATCCATAATGAAAAATGTAGTTGCTGAGGGCTGACTCAAGGAAGCCTTACTTGAGTACAGGCCTGGGAAAAGAGTAACTGGTCCCACGTTAAAGACTTTGTCCCTTCTGTTTAGAACAGATTAAAGAGCTATCAGACTCAGGTTCTGCAAGCATAGTCTCAGAAGAGTTGAGCAGAGGGTAGTAGCAACACACTGGAAGAGCCAAGACAGGCTTCAGAATGAAAACGAGCTGCAACAGGAAAGCCAGACTCAGCTTCCTGCTTCTCTGCTTACAGAGATAAGGCGGCCAATGTGGGGAGGGTGTACCCTGGCCAGGCTGTGACCCTGAAGGTCACTGGACTATGACCCCTAATGAAATCTGTGAATGAAAGGAAGTGAAAATGAACTGTCAGAATTTAAAAAAAAAAACAGAGGCTTGAAAGGAATAGGGAAAAGGATTTACTTCTACATAAAATTGAGGGAAAAGGTTTTCTTTTAAAAAAAAAAAAAAAGCTTGAAGCTTAACTGTGATTTACCTTTCTTTGTCCTTTGGTTTTTATTCTTATCTTTCTCTTTAACTAAAATAGGTAATTTATTACAACTGTTTAATTGGAGAGCTGTACATGAATGTAATTTTTTTTTTTTTTGTAATCCTGAGAACTCTCTAAGCTAGAGGACAGCAATGCTGTCTCCCTTGTGACAGGGTGAAAAAAACAAGATCAAAGGGATTTGGGCTTGCCTGAATTCAGGAGACTTTTTAAGAGACAGAGCAGGAATTAGCATCCGGATCTCCCACTCCACATTGAGTAGTCTGCCCCCAACACCACATGACATTCAGGACACACTCGAAATGCTGTATGTGAAACCACCATAAACTTCACCCCTCAGTGAGGCATCTTTCCACCCAATCAGTAATGTTGTCTTCAAAAGTCAAAATTGTCCAACATGGAATAAATATAATAATCGCTCGCATTTAATATTTGAGTATTAAGTTCCAGGCTAGTTTTAAACAATTTCCGAATATAAATTCATTTAGGAATACAAAATTAATATATTCAATTGGCAAATAAATTCAAATTTATTAAAAATCCAAATTATTCTCTAAACTAGTGATCTAAGTATTCTTTGCTCTTTAAAAAAATTGCTTTAGTGGGTTTTTAAGTTATTTCATTTAGAATATATATCACAAAGCACCTTCTCAATCAATGTAGAGACTCTATCTCTTATTCTACCCACAGGTTACAAGCTGGACAGAATAACAGGAAGTGAGTTTATCGGAAGCTAGAAATAAAAAATTTGCCACTGGGCTTTTGTTTTTTAAACCATTTTTTATTTAGTTTGCTACTTTTTGTACCTGATTGTCAAGTCCAAGTTCAGAAATTTGCCATCTTTCTTGAGAAATGATAGAGATTTTTAAAATTTGTATTTGCTTCAGCTTTTCTGAAGATGGAAAGGATCCTAATGAACACGGTTGAACTGTGGAGTGGTTACATCTGTGTTGCCATTCTCTGTATTGCCTTTTTTCTACTGGTGAAATGGGAATTACAGGCCTGGTTTTAACAACACCGTCGGCTTATAGAACTGCCCATATGTTGTGTTAGAATTCCCAAGAAATACTTCTTGGGTATTTGTTTCTTATATACTAGGCCCTGTCCTGGGCTCTGGACATAGCGGAAACAAGACCTACGTGATATCAGCCCTTGGACCTCACAACCTAAGGGGGAAACAGACCTAATGCCAGCAAAGAAATCAGTCATTGAAAAAAGCATGATAAGTGCTATGAAGTAGAGAATAGGAGCGAATAGGAGCCAGTGTCTACCTCGGGGGTAGAGAGAGCCAAGAGAAGCCCATGGCTTCTTTCCTGTGGCCTAGTTGCTATGAGACCCAGGCTCCCTGGGCGCCCCCCCCGCCCCCCCCCAAACTTTGCTCTTAACTTTTAAAAGTTAAAAATTTGTGAATTTATGAGTAAATTATCACTGAGATTTATCCAATGGATTGTTCATAAAAAGATATGACTATGAATACAAGGCAATATTAGTATAAACTTCTGTTCCTTTTCTGCTAAATTCACAGGAACATGTTAACTAATATTGACAGAAATATTCTATATAATCTAGCGTTAGGAGTTTGAGCCACCACACTGAAACGTTAGCATCGGACAGGTCTTTAGAAGTTCCCATCAGTTAGTTAGCATGAGGATTCTTTGCACAGTTGATGTGTCATACAGCCGTAAGTTGAGAGCTTGCTAGGTACCAGCCTGGCCAGATTACCTCACTACTCTTACACAAACTCTATTAAGTGAGTTTCTTTCTTTTTCTTTTTTTTTTTTTTGAGAGAGTCTTGCTGTGTCACCCAGGCTGGAGTGCAATAGCACAATCTCTGCTCACAGCAACCTCTGCCTCCCTGGCTCAAGCAATTCTCCTGCCTCTGCCTCCCAAGAAGCTGGGATTATAGACGCCCACCACCACCACGTCTGGCTAATTTTTGTATTTTTAGTAGAGACAGGGTTTCACCATGTTGGTCAGACTGGGCTTCAACTCCTGGCCTCAAGTGATCCATCTGCCTCAGCCTCCCAAAGTGCTGGTTTTGCCAGCTACAAAGTGAGCCACCGCGCCTGGCCTAAAGGGGGCTTCTTTATATAGTTGAAGAAACCTAGGTTCAGGAAGATTAAATAATTTGTCCAGATTACACAACTGAAAATACCACGTTATTCAGCAAGCTGCAGTTTTAGCTTTTGAGCTCCAAAGATTATTTTTAAATGTTTATTTTTGCTTCCAAATGATTTTGTTGGTTTGTTTAAATAGTCAAATCTAAAAGAGGACTTCACTGTTCAAGTCTCCATTAAAAACTACTATGTCCATCTGGCCAGGCACAGTGACTCACGCCTGTAATCCTAGCACTCTGGGAGGCCAAGGTGGGAGGATCAGTTGAGGCCAGGAGTTCAAGACCAACCTGGCCAACAGAGTGAGGTCCCATCTCTTCAAAAATAAAACTATTATGTCCATCTTTGCCTATGATTTAAACAGAAAAAACTATTATGGAAAAAAGTACAAATGAAGACTGGTTTTGATGTAATTTGCCTTTACTCTCCTTGCTAAATTTCAGGGTTTCTGAATTGTACCTGCTTTTCAGATGTTTAGATTTATTCAATAAGACAATATTAAAGTAGTTTTAAAAGCTTGAGCACTGATCAAAGATGTAAAAAATTGCCTAACAGCCCTGTTTCTGATTCTAAGAAAAAAGTAGAGTTTTAAGAGGCTCTAGATTTAATGTTTTAGAAATATGAAATGGATTAAAATGGATTAGGGGAAAAGGCACATTATTTGGAAATTGGAATTAACGTTTTACATGAAATCATTTGAGCATAAAGCATGGACTCTGGAGTTCATCATAATTGGCCCCAGCGTAACTACTGCATGACTGTGGCTTCCATTTATTCACGTGTGAAACTGGGTTAACCCATCTGTCAGTGCCTTAGTGAGGCATCAGTGAGATTCTGCGCGTAATACACCTAGCAGGTGTGTACCTAGTCAATACAGCCATGATTTAGACACTCCAGAGATAGTTCTATTTCCAAAGAGAATCCTGGACCACATAGGGGAATACTTTGTGCTAACTACAATTAATTTAGTGAAAGAAACTCTTAGTCTTATGCTAAGGCTTTGTTTCTGTGTTTTCATGTGAATGGCATAATTACCTGCAGCAAGGTGGGGATTGAGAAGGGCAAATTTTCGGCCCCTGTGTTTCACACCAATCAGCTGCACGTGTTTAGTAGGTGCAGGTCAGCCCTGAGCCTTAGCCCCGGCTGCAAATGAGTGATTATCTGCTGCCTGTCCCCTGCATTCTGTTGTCTGCTGTGGTAAATGGCCTCTATCGGCAGCCAGGGTGTAGCTTCCTCTTGCCATTTCCTCCTTCTCAGGCTCGTTTCCTCTCGGAGCCCGCTCTGCACGTCAGGGGCTATTCTCCCTGCAGGAAGGGTCGGCTTGCAGCCTCACGATTGTTTCTGTTTCTATGGCGCCTCAGGTTTGGGGGCAGCCAGGTGTTGGAATGGACTGGAAGGTTACTCCCCTTCAAGAGGTGGGGGTGGGGAGGGAAGGCCTGTACTCAAGCCCTTTCTTCCCCTAATTAAACGTTGTCTCAAAAAATGGTGGCAGTTTGCAGATTTTGCCTAATCCCAGGACCCTGCAAAAAAGCATTCTCAACTCCATGTTTTGGGTTTCTCCCAGAACTCTTAAATGTGAGGGGACTGTCTAAACAGAAGGACCTCATTGCAAAAGTAAAAACTCAAACATATGTGTAATAAGAACTCAAGATTCTAATCACTGTACATCATTTTATTTTAGGGGAGGTGGGCTGGAGGGCCCAGTAGGAACACTGCCCGTCCGCCTTGTACATCATTTTAGTCCAAATGTATTGAAATATCCTTGTGAGCAGGGCTCCTTCTATCTTAAGGTTGGAATCACCTCTTTTTCCTTTTTGTTCAGCTGGGGCAAAATTGCAGCAAGGACCTTGGGAAAGGGTTTCCCCAGCCTGTGCCAGATGTCTCAATTGAGTGTAAGCTATGATTAGAAACCTAAAAATTCTATTCTATATTCATCCTTTGAACTCCTTTGTGTTTCTGCTTCCTTTTTCTTAGTTCTTTTAGAAAAGTTCTCTTTAAAAAATTCCAGCCTTGCATGGTGGCGGGCGCCTGTAGTCCCAACTACTTAGGAGGCTGAGGCAGGAGAGACTCACTTGAACCCAGTAGACAGAGGTTGTAATGAGCCAAGATAGTGCCACTGCACTCCAGCCTGAGCGACAAAGCAAGACTTCGCCTAAAAAAAAAAAGGCAAGCCAGGCATGGTGGCTCAGGCCTGTAGTCCCAGCACTTCGGGAGTTCAAGGCAGGCAGGACATCGAGACCATCTTGGCCAATGTGGTGAAACCCTGTCTCTACTAAAAATATAAAAAATAGCTGGGCATGGTGGTGCACGCCTGTAGTCCCAGATACTCGGGAGGCTGAGGCAGGAGAATCGCTTGAACCCAGGAGACAGAAGTTGTAATGAGCCAAGATAGTGCCACTGCACTCCAGCCTGAGCGACAAAGCAAGACTTCGCCTAAAAAAAAAAAAGGCAAGCCAGGCATGGTGGCTCAGGCCTGTAGTCCCAGCACTTCGGGAGTTCAAGGCAGGCAGGACATCGAGACCATCTTGGCCAATGTGGTGAAACCCTGTCTCTACTAAAAATATAAAAAATAGCTGGGCATGGTGGTGCACGCCTGTAGTCCCAGATACTCGGGAGGCTGAGGCAGGAGAATCGCTTGAACCCAGGAGACAGAAGTTGCAGTGAGCTGAGATTGCGCCACTGCACTGCAGCCTGGTGACAGAGGCAGACTCAAAAAAAAAAGAAAAAAGAAATCCAGCTTTGTCTTAATTGAACCAAGAACAGTATATTTTTTGTTTCTTGTTTTCCATAGCTGTGTCTGGAGTAAGCAATGAAGAAGAAAAGCTGTAGGATTGAGAATCCAGGGACTCAGGAGACGAAGCAGCTCTGACCTCAGACAACCCCAGATGCCTGGCCTGGGGGTGAGGGCCAGGGACAGTTCATCCAACTCTTATATTCTGATATGGAAGTTGTAGACACAGGCACCTTTCTCCTTGGGAGGCCCCGGAGGGCAAGAGGAACCAAGATGGGGACTGTGGGCACCCAGGAGGAGTGGAAGTGGTTCTCAGGTTTAGCTGCTCTTTAGAATCACCTGGGGGATTTTTACACTCTTAATTTCCACACTGCGCCCCAGACCAACCTAGTCCAAACCTCTGGTGGCTAAAGCAGTATGTGTTAAAGCCCCCGAGTGATTTCAATGAGCTGTCCCTGTGCAGAATTTGAGACCGCTGCTGACAGCCCCTAGTCAGCAGAACTGTAACCTCAGCCTATACCTAAGTTTTGCACTTTTGAACTTGGTGTCCTGATTTTAATAACATCGCCCTCTTTTTGTTATAGGGGTCTTAATGAGTCAGTGATGTGTCTCCATGGAGCATCCCTACGCCTGTTTAGAAGTTACAGATAGTCTTTCCATCCTTTGTGTCCGTGGCCCTGCAGTCCTCTGAGCCTCTTCCTCCTCACCTGACCCCTCAACCTTCTTTGCTGGCACCCCTCCCTCCAGCCACCCTGAAGGAGTCCCAGATTCTGCCTTTGATCCTCTTTCCTTTTCAATCTGCCCTCCTTTTCTCTTGTGATTGCTTTCATTTTCACAGTATTCACAATGATCCATCTGTACCCCCTTAACGTATACCTCCAGATTCACACAGTCACCTGCCTGGAGACATTCTAGAGCTCCCTCCCCTCCCTCTCTCCTCCCATCCATCCATCCATCCATCCAATCATTCTTTAGCACAATGATGTGTCCTACAATGGTAAGATATGGTGGTCCCTGCCCTGGCAGACTCCACCACATTGAAAATACTGATGTATTGACATATAAATGGATGCAGTGGGAGAAGAGCAGGGTGAGAGTGTGTTGGTCCAGCCATGGCACCTGATCAACTCTGTGGGGCATCAGAGAAGGTGGTGGGCAGGAAAGGCTTCTCCAGAGAGGAGAAGATACTGAGTTAGATTGTAAAGGATGCCAAGATCACCAGGACACTGGTGGGCTCAAGACAGTGTAGTATGCAGGGAACTACAGAAGTTCCACTTGGTCAGAGCAAAGAGTTGGATTATGGAGAGACGGGACAGGGTAGTGTTGAAAAATTGGGGAGAGAGACAGTGACCTGCTCATATAAGCCTCCTGTGCCATTCTGAGTGTTCAGCACCTCTTAAGACAGTCGGGAGCTTATGAGGTGTTATGTGATGAGATGTCTGCATATAGAAAGTTCCTTCTTGCCTATGATCAGGTAGAGGATGGTTTGAAGGCTTCCTGATGGGCATTCAGAAGAGCCACAACATGATGCTTCTGTTGGTCTATAATATAGACTGTATATATCACCAGCTCTGGTTGTCCAGACTCCAGCCATCTCTAATTCTACCTAACAAGGCCCCTTGACCCCAGGCTGCTCTCCACCCTGTACTGCTCGTTCCTTCTCACTGTGGCTGACTGGCTGGTTAGCTGGCTGGCGGTTGGTTGGTTTGCATCTGTTTTTTTCCATCTATTTTTATGCACCATTTCAGACCATACCTTTCTGATTTACTCCATCCTGTACACCATGGTTAGAGTTATCTTTCAGTGAAACACAAATATAATGGTTATTCTCTGCTAAAAAACAAAAAAAAACCTTATAATCATTTTGTATTACATACAGACTATCTAAACTTTTTGTCCTTGCTTTTAAAATGGGCGCCTGGCTTGCCTGTGCTTCCAGCCATTTCTCCCACTAACCACTGCCTCTGTTGTGTGTGGCCTTCTGGCCTTTTAGACCCATCTCTCAGCTCCCCATTATGGGAACAAGCCTTCTATCATTCCCACCTCTATATCTTTACTCATGCAGCTTCCTCCACTGGAAATGGCCTTTTCTATCAAAGTCAACTCATCTTCCATTTCTCTTCCACTTGGAGTCAATCCAAGTGTAGTGGCTAAAAGTATGGCTTCTAGAGCCCAATTTCCTGCTGCTGAATCCAGGCTTTGGCACTTACTGGTCTATACAATTTCCTTAAACTCTATGCGCTTCAGTTTTCTCTTCTGTAATAATGGGGAAGTGATGGTATCCCATAATCAGAGTGATTGTGAAAGTTACTAGACACTTAGAATAGCGTTTCATACATGGTAAGCCATCAATAAATGTTAGCTGTTGTTATTACTGGTTTTCCCTATAACGCCTCTTTTACTTTGATTTATTCTGGAATTATTAGCCCAATACATATTATTTATGAATGTGTCTGGCTTCCTTCAATATATTGAAAGTGCATAGGAGTCAAGAACTCTGACTAATGCACATAAATGATTTCCCTCAGTGTATATGCAGCAATGCTTTGACTATCCAGACAGTCCCTGACTTACCATGGTTAGGCAACCTTTACAGTGATGCAAAAGTGATATGCTTTCAGTAGAAATTGTGCTTTGAGTCCCATAGAGCCATTCTGGTTTTTATTTGCAGTCATCAATAGATTACAAGATATTCAAAACTGTATTACAAAATGGGCATCGTCAGATTGTGTCCAGCTGTGGGCTAATTTGTTCATTTAAGGTAGGCTAGGCTTAACTGATACTCAGTAGGTTAGATGTATTAAATGTATTTTTGACTTGCAGTCGATTTTATTACAATTAGTTTATCTAGGCCTCCTGACAAAATGGAAAAACGCTGAAGGTGAGCTATACTCCAGCAGGCACCAGAACCCGGAAGTGAAGCAGGTTACCCTGAGGCCACTACTTAGAAACTGCAAGTGGCATCCTGGAGGTGTGCTTGTCTTCAGATGTAATCTCCCACCTTAAATGTGGATCCCATTATCTGATTCAGGCAGCTGGAGGGAAGAAGCTGTAGGCACCTTCGTTCTGCTTTTGTAGCACAGCTCAGAAGCAGTCAGCCCATCAGAGAACAATCTTGGAGTTACCTGCCACCTTCAGCCAGCCAGCCAGGGGTGCTGAGGTAACTGGGTTAATGACCAGGTTTATAGCACCTTTCTTTGAAGGCATTGTGTATTGCGTGTATTTTTCAGAAATTAGACGACGGGGTTCCAAGGATCCCTTGGTGAAGGCTCTCCAGCTGCTTGACAATCCCTGTGAACCCGCGGAGGGCAGCCTGAAGTCAGAGACCTTGGCCAAAAGACGGAGTTCCAAGGACCTGCTGGGGAAGCCGCCACAGCTGTACGACACTCCCTACGAGCCTGCAGAAGGGGGCCCCAGGGCAGAGGGGAAGGCGCGGCCCCCAGACAGCCGGCTGCCCGAGAATGACGAGCGGCCCGCAGCCGAGTACGAGCAGCCCTGGGAGTGGAAGAAGGAACAGATCGTACGTGCTCTGTCAGGTGAGGGCGCCAGCCAGGACCGCCCCAGTGTGGCTTCCGGCTTCCGGCCAGTATGGGCTCTTGTCAGGTGAGGGCGCCAGCCAGGCCCGCCCCAGTGTGGCTTCCGGCATCCGGCCAGTACGGGCTCTGTCAGGTGAGGGCGCTAGCCATTCCCGCCCTAGTGTGGCTTCCGACTTCCGGCTAGTGCATACCCTGTCGGGTGAGAGCGCCAGCCAGGCCCGCCCCGGTGTGGCTTGCGGCTACTGGTCGCGTACTTGTTTTTTCATTGTGGGTACTTTTATATTCCTTTATCTTCTCAGTGTGCAACTGTTTTGGAAATGCCTGAAATGACTATTGAAAGAGTACACCTGGCTAGGCACTGTGGCTCACGCTTGTAATTCGGGTTACTTCAGACCAAGATAGGTGGATGAGTCGAGCCCAGGAGTTGGAGACCAGCCTAGCCAACTTGGCGAAACCCCATCACTACTAAAAATACAAAAATCAGGGCCGGGTGCGGCGGCTCACACCCGTTATCCCAGCACTTTGGGAGGCTGAGGTGGGCGGATCACAAGATCAAGAGATCGAGACCATCCTGGCCAACATGGTGAAACCCTGTCTCTGCTGGAAAAAATAATAATCATACGGAAATTGGCTGGGCATGGTGGCGCACCTGTAATCCCAGGTACTCAGGAGGCTGAGGCAGGAGAATCGCTTGAACCCAAAACGTGGAGATTGCACTGAGCCGATTGCGCCACTGCGCTCCAGCCTGGGCAACGAGGTAAACTCCGTATCAAAAAAAAAACAGAAATTAGCGGAGTGTGGTGGTGTGCGTCTGTAATTCCAGCTACTTGGAAGGCTGAGGTGGGAAAATTGTTTGAACCTGGGAGGCGGAGGTTGCAGTGAGCCCAGATAGCACACTGCACTCCAGCTAGGGCAACTGAGCGAGACTCTGTCAGCAGAAAAAGAGAAAAGAATGCTCCTAATCACTGTACCTTTATTTTCTCACCACGGAAGCTATCAAATTGGAAGCAGCTTTTTCTAGCTCTAACTTAGTGCATCAAACCTGTTAAAATCCCTAGTTATAAAATGGCAATGCTGGATAAAATGGAATACAAGTAGAGATGGCCGGAAAGCTGGAGGAATCTGGATGGTTTGGTTTGGTTTGGTTTGGTTTTCAAAAATCCTCCAAAGGAATCTGTTCTTCAGGTGTGAATTTTTAAAATATCTTTTAAAAAGTTGATAAATGGGTTTTCAATAGACGTTACATGTAATTCTCCCTCCTGCTTCTCTGAAGACATAGTTTTTCTACTTGGCTGGCCACATAATTTCTTTGCCTTTAATTTAACATTTTAAGCATATCTCTTTCCTGTAATAGTAAAGCCAGGTTTCCATTTAAAAGTATAACCAGGCTGGGTGCTGTGGCTCACACCTATAATCCCTGCACTTTGGAGGCCAAGATGGGTGGACCACCTGAAGTCAAGAGTTTGAGACCAGCCTGGCCAACATGGTGAAACCCAGTCTCTACTACTCTACTAAAAACACAAAAGATTAGCCAGGCGTGGTGGTGGGTATCTAATCCCAGCTACTGAGCAGGCTGAAACAGGAGAATCACCTGAACCCTGGAGGCGGAAGTTGCAGTGAGCCAAGATCGCACCACTGCACTCCACCCTGGGTGAACAGAGCAAGATTCTGTCTCAAAAAATAAACATAAGTAAGTGGCCGGGCGCCGTGGCTCATGCCTGTAATTCCAGCACTTTGGCAGGCCAAGGCAGGTGGATCACCTGAGGTCAGGAGTTCGAGACCAGCCTGGCCAACATGGTGAAACCCCATCTCTACTAAAAATACAAAAGATTAGCCAGGCATGGTGGTGACAGGCACCTGTAATCCCAGCTACTGGGCAGGCTGAGACAGGAGAATTGCTTGAACCCAGGGGCCGGTGGTTGCAGTGAGCCGGGATCACACCATTGCACTCCAGCTTGGGCAACAAGAGCAAAACTCCCTCTCAAAATAATAATAAGTAAATAAATAAAAATATAACCAGGCCAGGTACAGCGGCTCACCCCTGTAATCCCTGCATTTTGGGAGGCCAACATGGGTAGATCACTTGAGGTCAGGAGTTTAAAACCAGCCTGGCCAATATGTTGAAACCCTGTCTCTACTAAAAATATAAAAATGAGCAGAATGTGGTGGTGCATGCCTGTGGTCCCAGCTACTCAGGAGGCTGAGGCGAAAAGAATTGCTTGAACCCAGGAGGCAGGGGTTGCCGTGAGCCAAGATCGCGCCACTGCACTCCAGCCTGGGTAACAGCAAGACTCTGGCTCAAAAATAATAATAAAGTATAACCAATGTAAAGGGTGAATGGAGAAGTTAATGTATTTGATAGTAACCGTTTGAGTAAGTTATTTTCTTTTTTAGTTTTTTTGAGACAGGGTCTCTCTCTGCCACCCAGGCTGGAGTGCGGTGGTCTGATCATGGCTCACTGCATCCTCAGCCTCCTGAGCTCAAGCAGTCCTCTCACCTCAGCCTCCCAAGGAGCTGGGACTACATGTGTGCACCACCACTCCTGGATTATACTTTAATTTTTTAGTGATGGGGTCTCACTATGCTGCCCAGGTGGGTCTCGAACTCCTGAGCTCAGGTGATCCTCCCACCTATGTCTCCCAAAGTGCTGGGATTACAGGCAAGAGCCACCATGCCCAGCCTAGTCAGCTTCATTTGACATTTTAATCTTTTTTTTTTTTTTTTTTTTTTTTTTGAGACAGAGTCTTGCTCTGTCGCCCAGGCTGTAGTGCAATGGCAGGATCTCGGCTCACTGCCACCTCCGCCTTCTAGGTCCTAGCGATTCTCCTGCCTCAGTCTCCCGAGTAGCTGGGATTACAGGCGTATGCCACCAAGCCCAGCTAATTTTTGTATTTTTAGTAGAGACAGTGTTTCACCATGTTGTCCAGGCTGGTCTCGAACTCCTGACCTGCCTCAGCCTCCCCAAAGTGCTGGGATTATAGGGGTGAGCCACCACACCCAGTCTTTTGTCTTCTTTTCAACATATCTTTCTGGGGTACCTGCTGATTTCTTGGTACTGTACCAGGTGCTGCCATTTCATCTCCTGTCCAGCTCAGGGTTCATGGCATCTCAGACGTATCATGTGTGAGTCTCTTTCTGTTTCTGAGTTGATTTTTCTTTTTGTTTATTATTTCATATTAAAAACTTGGTTTGGTTTTATAGGATGATACACATCCTTGCAAGCGTTCATTAACTGTAACTATGTTTAATCACTTATCCTAAAAATAGCAAAACTGCAAGTTATTAAAAAGTCCATGTTGAACTATGTTAAAGTGGTTTTCCCTTATAATCTGAAACCATTTTATACGGATGAATACTTTACAGAAAAAGAGTCTGTATGAGGGATGCTAGCAGTGTGATCAGATATCAAAGACAGCAGGAGCTCAGCTCACCAGGCTATTTTGCAGTATATTATAGTTGATGTTAACGGGGGAAAATGCTTCTTTCCTGAGCCCAGGCAGGCAAGGAGGTTTTTTTCCTTTGAAGTTTACATGAATCACCTCAGTGGCCTGTGATGTTAAATGGAGTCTTCCTTCCAGTCCAGTTTGAAGGAGCTGAGCGACCTTCCCTCAGGGAGGAGACAGTGAGGCAGCACCACCGGCAGAAGAGCTGGACCCAAAAGATCCTGAAGCCAGCCCTCTCAGACCACAGTGACGGGGAGAGAGTGGACCCGGGCCTGCCCCTGGAGAAACAGCCGTGAGTCTCCTCCACGGGCCCTTGGAACAGACGGTGGCTGGGAGCTTAATGACAGCTTAGTATGGGGGGACACACTGGCCCATTTAACATGATGATTTTTTGTTAATAAATATTTGCTGGGATGGGACTTTTAATGAAAACCTGTCTTCAAAGCCTGGTGCATTGTGCAGAATGGAAAGTGCACTGCATCTCAACAAGCTCATTGTAGATGTTATTCTTTTTTTTTTTTTTTTTCTTTTTTTTTTTATGAAAAGCCATATGTATACATATATATATATGTATATGAAGCATGACACAACTATATTCCATAAAATTTCATTTACAGAATGAAATTCTAGAAGAGCTTATCAATAGCAACAGAAGGCAGATAAGCAGGTGCCAGGCACCAGGGATGGGGTAGGGAAGGTTGACTGTAAAGGGCAGGAGGAAACCTTTTGGTGTGATGGAAATGCTCTCCATCTTTGTTGGGATTGTGGTCAGAGAGGGGAAAACATACATTTGTCAAAACTCAGGCCAGGCGCAGTGGCTAACACCTGTAATCCCAGCACTGTGGGAGGCCAAGGTGGGTAAATCACCTGAGGCCAGGAGTTCAAGACCAGCCTGGCCAACATGGTGAAACCCCATCTCTACTAAAAATGCAAAAATTAGTTGGGCGTGGTGGCACACACCTGTAATCCCAGCTACTCAGGAGGCTGAGGCAGGAGAATTGCTTGAACCTGGAAGGCAGAGGCTGCAGCGGGCCAAGATTGTGCTACTGCACTCCAGCCTGGATGACACTCTATTTCAAAAAAAAGTAAAGGAAGAAAACAAGTAAAATAAAATCAAAATGTTTATCAAAACTCATCAAACTGTATACTTAAAATTGGTGTATTATTTATATATATATTACACCTCGATCAAAATAAAAACAATGGCTACCAATACTGAAAAACTTTGATACATTTATATATTTTCCTAATCTCATCCCAATTTAGTTTGTGATTTAGGCTACTGATCCAGTACATCTTTTTTTTTTTTTTTTTTAACCAGGATTGGCTAATTGTTTTTTTTTTGTTTTTTTTTCTTTTTAGAGAGAAAAAGAGAAAAAGAAGGGGAAAAAAAGAAAAAGAGGGAAAAAGGAATATTACTTCATTCCTAAAATGGGTTTCAATAATGGCCGATCAATATTTTGAGTGTTTAAAGTGGTTAATGCATATTTTATGTGTTTAAAATGAAGACCTCTATTGTGTTTATTTGTTCTGGCTCTGAGTTCAAGTCCTGGATATCGTTATCAATTTGTTGTCTCATTGAATCTAAATCTCATTATGTGTCTTATGTATCTGGGTGTTAAGATCTCTTATTGTTACATTAATCCTTTTACCGTTGCATCCTTGTAGCTTTGAAATCTATTTTATTAAGTGTGAGAATTGCAACTCCTGCTTTTTATTTATTTATTTTTGCTCTCCATTTGGTTGGTGAGTTTTTTTCCATCCCCTTGTTTTGAGTCTTTATATATCTTCAGATATATCGTTAGATTTTGTGGATAATGTATATTTTGTGTGTTTAAAATGGAGAGCTCTATTGAGTTTATTTGTTCTGGATCTTAGTTCCAGTCCTGGGTGTCGTTATCAATTTGTTGTCTCGTTGAATCTAAATCTCATTATGGGTCTTATGTATCTGGGTGTTAAGATCTCTTATTATTACATTATTCCTTTTACCCTTGTATCCTTGTAGCTTTGAAATCTATTTTGTCAAATGTGAAAATTGCAACTCCTGCTTATTTATTTATTTCTGCTCTCCATTTGGTTGGTACGTTTTTGGTTTTTTTTTCCAACCCTTTATTTTGAGTCTATGTATATCTTTGGATATACCGTTAGATTTTGTCTGTATCTTTTGATTGGGAGATTTGGTCGATTTAAATTTAGGGTTGCTGCTATTTGTTATTAACTGGCTATTTTGTCCTTTCGTTGATAAAAATTCTTCTTTATGTTAATGCTCTTTACTTTTTGGTGTATTTTTAGAAAGGGTCATACTGGTTGTTCCTTTCTATGTATAGTGCTTCTTTTAGAAGTTCTTGTAAAGCAGGCCTGGTGGTAATAAAATCTCTGAGTACTTGCTTGTTCCTAAAAGATTTTATTTTTCCTTCAAATGTAAAGCTTAAATTGGCAGGATATGAAATTCTGGGCTGAAAGTTCTGTTGATTAAGTATATTGAATATTGACCCCCACTCTCTTCTAGCTTGTAGGGTTTCCGTTGAGAGATCTGCTGTAAGCCTAATAGGCTTACCTTTATGGGTGACTTGATCTTTCTCTCTGGCTGCCCTTAATATTTTCTCCTTCGTTTCGATCTTGGTGAATCTAATGATTATGTGCCTTGGGGTTGGTCTTCTTGAGGAATATCTTTGTGGTGTTCTCTGTATTGCCTGGGGTTGAATAGTGTCCTGCTTTGCTAAATTAGGAAAATTTTCCTGGATAATGTCCTGGAGAGTATTTTCCAACTTGACTTCATTCTCTCCGTCACATTCAGGTACACCAATCAAGCGTATATTAGGTCTTTTCACATAGTCCCATATTGCTTGGAGACTTTGCTCATTCCTTTTTATCCTTTTTTCTCTATTCTTGTCTTGTCGTTTTGTTTCATTAAGTTGGTCTTCTACCTCTGGTACCCTTTCTTCTGCTTGATCCATTCGGCTGTTTAAGCTTGTACATATTTCACTAAGTTCTCGTGTTGTATTTTTCAACTCCATAAGTTCATTTGTATTCCTCTCTATATTGTCTATTCTTTTCAACATTTCATCTAACCTTTTTTCCAAGTTCTTAGTTTCTTTACATTGGGTTAGAACAAGTTCCTTTAACTCCCAGAAGTTTCTTATCATCCACCTTTTAAAGCCTACTTCAGATAATGGAACACAGTCCTTTTCCATCAGGGCTTGTTCCGTTACTGATGAGTCCTCTTCCATCAGGGCTTGTTCCGTTGCTGATGGGTTCTGATTTTGAGTATACTCGGCCTTCTTAGGCTGTTTTTTTTCCCTTCATTGTAGATGAACCGCCTTTCTAATTAGTTTTCTGAGTCGACGTCCGACTTATTGATTCCCAGTGCTGGGATCCGAGCAACCCACTGTGGCAGCCTAAATAGCAGCAATAAGACTGATGGTGCTCTTCTGCCCGGGAATCTCTGGTCTGGCTTCCCTCTTGAGTCCGCAACAAGCGGCTCTGACTTCCTGGAGCTCCAAACTCCGGTCAGTAGGGGAAGCAGTCCCGTTGGCTCTGCATGAAGAGCTGCTGCGCCGAGACGCCGGCAAAACCGCTGCGGCGGCCACAAGAGTCGCGCTGGCGACCCGTGGGGCTCCTCCACTGGGAATCGGCTGATCGGTGAGTGATGAAAATTCGTCTAATGATGTGGCGTCGTCTCGTTCTCTGAGCTTTCACTGGGAGCTACAATCCTGAGCTGCTAGTGGTCGGCCATCTTGGATCGATCTCGATGTTATTCTTCTATAGAGAGTGAAAACTGTTCAAATGACACTAGCGCCATTACCTCACTCTTGTATGATTGATGGGTTCTGTGATCCCAGATACCAAGATCTGCACATTGTCTCTTGTGAATGTGAGGCAGGATCTAGTTCAGTCTGTTGCGTCCCTGCTAGCAGTTCATTTAAACAACGCTTTACGGAATGACGCCCAGTCTGGATTTGTATTTTGATACTCATGCTGCCTTCCCCTCTCCCACCCCCATTTTTCAGCTGGTATCATGGTGCCATTAGCCGTGCCGAGGCTGAGAGTCGACTACAGCCCTGCAAAGAAGCTGGTTACCTGGTTCGAAATAGCGAGTCGGGGAACAGCAGGTACTCCATTGCTCTAAAGTAAGTAAGCCCATAGCTTTCCTCATCTCCAAGGTTAGGAAACGCTGTGTGACAGTCTTCCAGTCAAAAGACATACTGTGAAGGTGATTCACAGGGGTGTCCACTGCAGAAAATAAGAGGCATTTGTTTGTACAGCGGAACATGAGACCCTTGGAATGAGAATGCAAAATTGGTATTGGGTAAATGCCTCCGTTATCTATTATGATAACCAAGGTCTTATTGCATTATCTTCGTACATTAGTCAATTTCTAACTTACCTTAGCTAATCTGGAGTAGGCCCCTCAGTAGAGAAATAATTCCTGATGAAAAGAATTATTTCTAACAAGGTAGTGTAGTCATTCTTCTTTTACTCCCTAGGATTGGGGACTTTAACAAATCAAGATCCCCCTGATTGTCAAAATGCCAACTGCAATTTCAATACCAGTTTTTTCTGGTGAAGAAGGAAATGCTGACTTGCCTGTTGCTCTCCCTGTCTGACCGTACACAGAAAATTCACTTTTGCCTAGTAGGCCTGGTGGAGTGTGTATCATGGAAATTCTCACCGTTCTGTGAGTTCAGTGGCCTTATATTGGAGGATCATTGTCAAGAGCCCTAACAGCATTTCCTTCCTGAGGAAGCTGAGCCCCTGCAGCTGAAACAATCAGGCTGGAGGAGAACAGAGGCGGGCGGGGGAGTTAAGCAATATGGCTCAGAAAATGGGATAGGCCACCAGATATACAATACCAGGAATAGCTCGACCATGTTCCTGAAATTGGTGCTTGTGGATTAAATCTCTGAGCGTTTGGTGCCAGCTTTCATTCTATACAACCAGGAATGGTCTTTCCAGATGTGAGGGGGGGGAAATGATTTTTATTATTATTATTATTTATGTGTTCTTTTTGGGAAAAAAGGAAGAAGTACCGTTACACATGTTCTTTTAGCCGTGGTGAAAAAGATGAGTTTCTTTTCTTTTTTGAGCCAGAGTCTCACTCTGTTGCCCAAGCTAGAGTGCAGTGGCGCAATCTCAGCTCACTACAACCTCCACCTCCTGGGTTCAAGTGATTCTCCTGCCTCAGCCTCCCTAGTAGCTGGGATTACAGGCATCTGCCACCACACCTGGCTAATTTTTGTATTTTTAGTAGAGACGAGGTTTCGCCATGTTGGTCAGGCTGGTCTGGAACTCCTGACCTCAAGTGATCCACCTGCTTTGGCCTGCCACAGTGCTGGGATTACAGGTTGGAGCCACAGAGCCCAGCCAAGGTTGAGTTTCTTGCTCACCTTAGTAACCTCATGCTTGGGTGTAAGCACTGGTTTTTCAATTTGAGGGCTACGAGGGACTTGGCATTCTTTTAATTGTTTTCTTTGGTCCAGTACCTGATAACTCATATGTAATAAGGATAAACCACTCAAGGATTACATGCATTTAGACTGAAATTTCTGAGAGCTCCACTAGCGTGTGGAATGCATTTCTGTGTGTAGAACCATTCTGGGACTGGATGAGATCTGTCAACCTAGTGTGAGTCTGGCTGCAGTTGTTTTCAGTGGGGAGGGATCCTCTGCCTCATTCATGTCTCCTTGATTTTCATTCCAGGACTAGTCAAGGATGTGTCCACATCATAGTGGCTCAGACCAAAGACAGCAAATACACACTGAATCAGACGAGCGCTGTGTTCGACAGCATCCCTGAAGTGGTACACTATTACTCCAACGAAAAGCTGCCTTTCAAAGGGGCGGAGCACATGACTCTACTCTACCCCGTGCACAGCAAGCTTCACTAAGGTTCAGCCCCTGCAAGCCGAGGGCATCATCAGCGCACAGCCAGCGTCTCAGAGGACAAGGCCGGATGAACAACTGCTAGAAAATGGGAGTCTTCCTTGAAAAGTCAGAGTGTTTGGTTCTTTTTTTTGCATTTGTTTTGTTCTGGTTTTTGAGACGGAGTCTTGTTCTGTCACCCAGGTTGGAGTGCAGTGGCGTGATCTTAGCTCACTTCATCCTCCACCTCTTGGGTGCAAGCAGTTCTCCTGCCTCAGCCTCCCAAGTGGCTGGGACTATAGGCGCAGGCCACCACGCCCAGCTAATGTTTTTTTGTTTGTTTGTTTTTGTTTTTTAGTAGAGACGGGGTTTCACTGCATTGGTCAGGCTGGTCTTGAACTCCTGACCTTAAATGATCCGCCCACCTCAGCCTCCCAAAGTGCTGGGATTATTGGCTTGAGCCACCACACCCTGCTGAGTCTTTGGTCTTAAAGTGATTCCATGACACTTGGTTTCTGACCTGTCGCTTTTCTCTTTGCTAAGTAGTTCTACAATAAGAAATCATGACTTAGCTGGTCCCTTCCCCTCTGGAGCAGGGTTTTCTTTTTACGGTGTGACCCTCAGGAAAGGTTAGCCCAGAGTTCAGGAGCACCAGGGTTCTCCAGAAACGTGCCTGCTTGGAGTTCAGGAGCACAGGGTTCTCCAGAAACGTGCCTGCTTGTCACTCGGAATACGTGGTCTCGAAACAAACCAGCAACAAATCCGTATGGCTTTTCCAGTTGACGGTTCAGACTGGAAGAGTATGTTATGTCAGACTCGTTATCGGGGAAATGGACGAACAGTAGAAAATGTGAATGATGGGCGAGAAGATGTCTTTCTCCCTCACATGTCCCAAGGCAGCTCTGGAGTTCCTGGAAATTCACAGCTTCAGAGTGTCGCCTAAGGATTATTTTGTTGGTCAGCCTTTCCAAGAAAGTGTATGTTCTCTCAATCGCTGTGGATTTTCTGATTTTTGTTTTAGCAAATCAGTGAGATAAGCATAAATAGGAAGGAAGATACCCCAGGTTTAAGAATCACCAATACCGTTAGTCATTGGCATCATCATTAGAATTCTAAATTGAGAACAAAAGGTACCACAGAGATTTCTGATTATTTTAAAATTCTGATTTACATTTTAAAACAGCTCAACAGCTACTACTGAATAATTGTATAGAACTTCTGATGTCTTTTGTTTCATCATCATTGGGCATTTCTGTTGGTATGGAATAATTTTTAATTTTTGTCTTTAAAATTAGATTTGCTTTGTGTTTGTAGTAAATTTTTTTAAAATACAACCTTGAGATCTGATTGTATGAACTGGGTCTCTGAAGCCCACAAAGATCCATTCTGTCCTGAGCAGACTGCCTTGCACTGTACAGAAGTGTGTGAAAAAACCTGGACCTTTTCTCTACATACCATTACCTAATATTCACAGTATTAGGGGCTTTATGATTTATCATGAGCTTCTAGCACCAGTTTATTGACTGAAAAAAGCCGCGGGAATGGCATACTGTGAGAAGAGTACTATGGTGAGTGGCGCCAGATCAAAAACTCAGCAGGTGTGTCTTTATTCTGGGGGTGGTCATCTGGGTCTCAATACTGCTCCAGATGTAAATGTACTGACTGTCATCAATGAGAATTAATCTCTGTAGCTCATAAATACACAAAAAAAGATGCTGATCTGGTTAATTTTTTAGGAAAGTATACCTTACTAGTTACTAGTTACATTTGACTATAAGATTTAGAGGTTAGTAAATATTTGCTTCTTTATTCAGGTAAGATCTCAGCCAAAAGGTTGTGTGATCTTTGATTTTAAAAATTAAGAACTTCTTCTCACTGGAACACAATCGTTTTATTGAGAAAGAATGTAGGCCGGGTGTGGTGGCTCACCCCTGTAATCCCAGCAGTTCGGGAGACTGAGGGGCAGATCACCTGAGGTCAGGAGATCTGACACCAGCCTGGCCAACATGGTGAAACCCCAACTCTACGAAAAGTACAAAAATTAGGCCAGGTGCAGTGGCTCACACCTGTAATCCCAGCACCTTGGGAGGCCCAGGCAGGCAGATCATTTGAGGTCACAAGTTTGAGACCAGCCTGGCCAGCATGGCTAAACCCTATCTCTGCTAAAAATACAAAAATTAGCTGGGTGTGGTGGTGGGCACCTGTAGTCCCAGCTTTGGGAGGCTGAGGTACAAGAGTCGCTCGAACCCAGGAGGTGGAGGTTACTGTGAGCCAAGATCACGCCACTGCGCTCCAGCCTGGGCGATGAGCAAAACTCCATCTCAAGAAAAGAAGAAAGAAAGAAAATTAGCCTGGCCTGGTGGTGGATGCCTGTGATCCCAGGTATTCAGGAGGCTGAAATTGGAGGATCACCTGAGCCCAGAACATCAAGGCTGCAGCTGAGACCTTGTCTCAACAAACAACCGAAAGGAATGTTTTTCAGATAGTGATAGAATTGTTTTCAATGTGTATTGGTTCATGTACTATATCTTTAGTGTAAGATTTTAAAAGTTTTTTTCAGCATCCATTTAACAAGTATTTATTATCTTTATACAAATTATTCATTGTGTTAAACTTAGTTTAACATTCTAGAAATGAAGCCTTATTTTTTACTTAACCTTAGTCTACAAAGGGAATACAGCAGTTATTCTAATTTTAATAATGCTAAAAGCTGTATACAATTTTTCTTTGTGCACTAAATGAGTTTTGGCCCATACCCAGCAACTGTGATGAATGTATAATGAAATAACATTTTGAAAGCAGGCCAGATACATTATTTATTGAGCTTCTATCATATGCCCAGTATTGTGCTTCTTCGATACTGTTTTTCTGTGAAATCATACTATATTCCTTATAGAATTAAAAGTAAAAGGGAGGCAGAGTTTAGATATTGTTCAGTTGCTGTACAGTTGTACAGGAGGTTATAAGAAGAAATACAGTAAATTCGTGGGAAGTGAGGGCTAGTAAGCTCTTTTCTTCTTGAGGTTGTGACACAAGCTGACAAAAGCCAAGGAGTTCACAGCTGTGTGGTGGCACAAAGTCACATATGTTCTAAAAACAATTAGGCCCAGCAGGGTGTCCCTAATGGCTTCCTTGTTAAGCCTCCCTGGCCAGCTGATCTGAAGCTCTGTGACATGTTCTCTGAGCTCTGAATGCTTTGGCTTTTTGTCATTTTGTCTTGAGACAAGTATTTTCCTGTAGTTTTCATTCCTTTGAGTTAATTCTGTCTCCCAGGATATTCTCTGGTGAGAAGAATGTCTTCTAGTAAGTTTGCCTTGAGTTTAGCATCCACAGAGCTGTGTCAGTGTTCTTCTTTACCACACGTCCTTTTAAAAATACTCCTACTTCCAATGACTGGCTAAGGTCAGTTGGTTAGTTTCAGGCCTATAGAATAGAGAGTAAAGGACCTTGCTGTTTACCTTGATGCCATACCCGTGTCTATCATGATGGCCTGCAACCACTGGCGTTGTGTGTATTTAAGATAGGAATAAAATAAGGGAGAAATGTTAAGATGTATGCAAAAAGGTATACTAATCTCCATACTCTCTCGGGGGCAGAAGTGTCGTTTTAAGTTATTTAAAGCACTTTCTTAAGCATTTTAGAAAGCCTTCATTCTTTGCTGTTAGAAGTCTCCATACTTTGCAGAATTGGTGTTTGTGAACTAGCCTCTGCCACAGGATGGGGAGGTGGGCAGGTCGTTGATAGGGGCAGCCAGGCATTTTTGAGGCAGGTGGGCAATTGTCCTAATTTGTTAATCGGTTTACGTAACTGTGTTACTAGTCTGTTATTGGCTGCTATTGGATGCATTTGACATTTAACTCAGAAGAACTGAGGCATTCTTCAGTTTCTTGCTAAGTGGGGTAGCCTTTCTGTTCTGTCAGATGCCCTCTTTAATTAAAGGTTAGCTCCTTGTTTCTCCCTCCTTCCAGGACCCAGGGAGCAGGGAAGTCTCATTTCCTTTCCCTGCACGCCCTTGACTCTCAGCAGGATTTCACGGAAACCCTTCTCAGATCTCTCGTTCATTAGTTGTCTCCTGTTTTCCATAAACCATCACTAGTTTGGCCTTATGACCTGGTTAGAATCATTCTTCCGTATTCTCATTTCCAATTTTTGTAACCCGCTAACTTGGACTTAGAGAAACTTGGCCTGCTGTGCAGTGGGCCTTCTCTTCAAACTTACCCTCCTTCACAACTGACCCTGTGTGAAGAAGGATGGTGCATTACTGCCATCTAATGGAAAAAGAGAAAACTGCAATTGGGAAAACCAGCCGTGCATTTAAGGGTAGGGTTTTCTGAAGGATCTCCGAAAGGGGAAAATGATGACACAGCAGTTGCCATCTTGAAAAATGCCCTTTTCTGCGGAAAGGGTGCTTCGAAGCCTAATACAGCTGTCATCACAAGACCCTGGACTAGGGCTGGATCGTGTAATTTAGAATCGCAAAATGTATTTCAGTGAATATGCTGGCAACAGATCATTGAGACAGGTATCTCGTTTTGTCAAGTTCTTAACCGTTCAGTTACTTTGTCAGGGGCTTTAATATTTTAGATATCAACTAATACATAGTTTCAACTTTTAAAAATATTTAAAGATTGTATGTAATATAGGTCTCTATCTGTAGTGCCTTAATAATTTATATCAGAAATATTTTCTAAAATTTCTGGTTGTATTGCAGTAGCCAATACAGGCTTCATGCCCTCCTGAAGATGGTTCACTCTGAAATGTAACTTTAAATAAACATTATTCCAAGAAAACTGCAGTGGTTTTGCGTGATTCCGTTCTGAGAATCATCTTCCTTCACAATAATACTTCCCATGGCAAGAGCAGCTTCATTTGCAGTCACCGTTAATGCAACATAGAAATAAACATGATGCAACATAACCAGCACACCCGATCTTTTTTTTTCCCCCCCTCTCTTCGCATTTAGTGTCCTTCTATTATGTTTTTCTTCCCAAGTAAAATAGTAACACAGTGACGTTTTCTTGCCATTTCCCTGGCCCATCTCTTCCTGAGTTGAAGAAATATTGCACTGGTTCTCAGCCCTCACTAGATAGAAGAATTGGGCTCTGTTTCTGTTTTTGTCAGTTTGTTATTGATACAAATGCCCCCATGCCCTCTGTGGGATGCCCTAAGACTGGTGCAAAGTTCAAAAATCTATTTTGAAAAAAAATTATACCAGGTAATTTGGAAGTTCCAACAGGACTTCTCTTCCAGTGGCTGAGAAGTCCCGTTGGAAGCTCCTATTTGGAAATGCTGAAATAAATTCATGTGAGGTCCTAGAAGGGTGTACTGTTGAGCCTGCTGTCAAAAATGTTTTCCCCCAACAATTCCTATTTACCATGGTATCGTTTTTTAATTTCCATTGAGCATTTATATAAATTGCCACCAGGTGGAACAAGTGCCTATTGTTTTTCCTCATCTGTGTTTAAGAGAAGAGGAAGTTCGCATTGAGAAATGCTCGTTCCACCCGCCACCCAAGCAATTAGAGTAATGGTTTTCAGAATTCAGATCGAACACATGTTTACAAGCGCCCGGGGTTTGGTTGTCGAATGTTGGATTCTGACCCTGTGAAAGGCAAGGATGTAGGATGTGAGAATAGACTCTTGCTACCCACCAGCTGTGCTGCTGAACAAATGCTTTTCATCCTACAGCATCTCACTTTAATCCTCCACGACTCAGCCGGGTGGGAGTCTCATTTTTTAGATAAAGACACTGGTGCTTAAAAATGATCAAATAACTTGTCCTGGGTCAGTCATATATAAGAACCCAGAGGGCTGCCCAGGTCTCACTCTATAGAGTGGTGGGGTTTTTTTGGTTGGTTTTTCTGCAGTTTTTATTGTTTCATTTAAACAAATAAAACATACATGGAGCCGTCTGTGCATTTTACCCACTGCACAGCCCGGCCCTGGGAGTGGTGACTGGCCCAGCGGGCTGCTCACTCCGCTGTGGTCCTGTGGTTCTGGAGGAAACTTTGAACAGTCTCTGCTCAGAACAACTTGCTGCGCATCAGCAGCACTTCACTCCCAGCTCCCTGACCTTGTCGATCAGGAACATCTGGAAAGCCACTGGGCAGCATGTGCTTTATCTTGCTGCTCCTATAACCGATGCTGGCAATGTACACACACGGGAGTATCATTCAGCCTCAACAAGGAAAGGAATCCTGACACAGGCTGCAGCACGGATGAACCATGAGACCATTACGATGAATGGATCCAGCCAGTCGCAGACAACTACTATATGATTCCACTCATATGAGGTACCCAGAGTAGTCAACTTCATAGAAAGTAGAATGGTCGTGGCCAGGGGGCTGGGGAAAGCAGGAACAAGGAGTTGTTTTTCTTCACAGAAATAGGGTCAGCTTACGAAGTGCAGAGTTTCTTCATACAGGGTCAGCGTGTAAGTGCAGAGTTTCTTTTCTCTTTTTTTAGACAGGGTCCTGCTCTGTTGCCCATGCTGGAGGGCAGTGGTACAATCTTGACTCGCTGCAACCTCCATCTCCTGAGTTCAAGCAATTCTCCTGCCTCAGCCTCCCTAGTAGCTGGGATTACAGGCACCCACCATCACACCTGGCTAACTTTTGTATTGTTAGTAGAGACAGGGTTTCATCATGTTGGCCAGGCTGGTCTCAAACTCCTGACATCATGTGATCCACCTGCCTCAGCTTCCCAAAGTGCTGGGATTACAGGCACGAGTCACTGCGCCCAGCCCAGAGTTTCCGTGTGAAATAATGAAAAGTTCCAGAGACTGGTTGCACAATATGAACATAGTTAACACTACTGAACTGCACACTTAGAAATGGTACTACAGGCCAAGCTTGGTGGCCATATCTATAATCCCAGGACTTTGGAAGGCTGAGGTGGGCGGATCACTTGAGCCCAGGAGTTTAAGACCAGCCCAGGCAACATGGTAAAACCCCATCTCTTATAAAAAATAAATAAACATAAGGGCTGGGTGCGGTGGCTTACACCTATAATCCCAGCACTTTGAGAGGCCGACGCAGGTGGATCACGAGGTCAAGAGATCGAGACCATCCTGGTCAACAAGGTGAAACCCCGTCTCTACTAAAAATACAAAAAAATTAGTTGGGCATGGGGGTGCACGCCTGTAGTCCCAGCTACTCAGGAGGCTGAGGCAGGAGAATTGCCTAAACCCAGGAGGCGGAGGTTGCAGTGAGCCAAGATCGTGCCATTGCACTCCAGCCTGGGTAACGACAATGAAACTGTGTCTCAAAAAAATAAAATAAAATAAACATAAGTGGTTAAGATGGTAAATTTTATGTCAAAGCATTTCTTACCACACATACAAAAAAATGCCAGTATATTACCTTACAATGGAAATGCATCTAGCAGACTGGACATTCAGGTCACCTGTGTAATCAATGTGCTCTCTACCCATAGATGGGCCAGGTGGACTTAGGGCAAGGGAAATAGGAATTGGGTTTCAGTATCCACCTCTACCTCCAGGGCAATCCTGCTCAGGGTCTGCTAAGTCGTGTCCATGGGCCCAGGCAGCCTTTCCCCTGCTTGGAAGAGGCGCCACAGAGCTGGATAGTGTGAAGTATCGAAGATAATTTAAGCTCTGATAAACATACCCCGAGGAGATTCAGTCTGAGGCACGAAGCATGAGGTTCTCATTTCCAGAAGCCACAGGTAGCACCAGAATCACTTCCCCTTTGTGAATCATGTAGTGTGAATCGCTGTAATATCTTGATTCAAATTTAAAATACTTCTATGTGACATTTTAAAATGATTGCCTTCTAATTTATGTGCATAAACAGGTTTACTAATTTAGACTAATTGAGGGAAAGATACATTATTACTTGATGAACACATAAAAAAGCCAGTTCGTTGATCAAGCTATCAACCAGCATGTTGTTGGTAAGAAACAGATTTTACTTAAAAGATAATTAAGGCTGGGCGCGGTGGCTCACGCCTGTAATCCCAGCACTTGGGAGGCCGAGGCGGGTGGATCACGAGGCCAAGAGATCGAGACCATCCTGGTCAACAAGGTGAAACCCCGTCTCTACTAAAAATACAAAAATTAGCTGGGCATGTTGGCGCGTGCCTGTAGTCCCAGCTACTCGGGAGGCTGAGGCAGGAGAATTGCTTGAACCCAGGAGGCGGAGGATGCGGTGAGCCGAGATCGCGCCATTGCACTCCAGTCTGGGTAACAACAGTGAAACTCCGTCTCAAAAAGATAATTAAGAAAGTTGTGGATTATTTTGGATTGCTTTATTTTATTTTACTTTATTTTTGAGACAGGCAGGAGTTGCCCAGACAGGAGTGCAATGGTGTGATCATGGCTCCCAAAACCTTGACCTCCCAGGCTCAGGCAATTCTCCCACCTCAGCTTCCCAAGTACCCTACTACACCTCGCTAAATTTTTTGTAGAGACAAGGTCTCGCTGTATTGCTAGATTAATCTCAAACTCCTGAGCTGAAGTGATCCTCCTGCCTCAGCCTCCCAAAGTACAGGGATTATAGGCATGAGCTGCCGCACCAGCCTGAACTGCTTCAGATAGTGTGTTTGCAAGTGAGACATTCTTTCTAAAACCCTTGCACATTTTAAAATGGAGAATCTCAAGTATTTTTAGAAACTAATAAAATGGGCCAGGCACAGTGGCTCATGCCTGTAATCCCAGCACTTTGGGAGGCTGAGGTGGGCAGATCACTTGAGGTCAGGAGTGATACCCTCCAATTGGGAGGTGGAGGTTGCAGTTAACTGAGATTGTGCCACTGCACTCCAGCCTGGGCAACAGAGTGAGACTCTGTCTCGAAAAAAGAAATGAGGCCGGGTACGGTGGCTCAAGCCTATAATCCCAGCACTTTGGGAGGCCGAGGCAGGTGAATCACAAGGTCAAGAGATTGAGACCATCCTGGTCAACATGGTGAAACCCCGTCTCTACTAAAAATACAAAAAATTATCGGGACATGGTGGCACGTGCCTGTAGTCCCAGCTACTCGGGAGGCTGAGGAAGAATTGCTTGAACCCAGGAGGCAGAGGTTGCGGTGAGCCGAGATCGTGCCATTGCACTCCAGCCTGGGTAACAACAGCGAAACTCCGTCTCAGAAATAAAAAATTAAAAAAAAGAAATGAATGCAATGAACCACCATGTCCTGTCACCCAGCTTCAACAATGACTATCTTACAGCCAATTTTGTTTTGTCGGTGATCCCCACCTACTTCTTGTACATTTTAATAAATATTTTTTCATAGGCGGTATATGATTGGATTATTCTAAAATAGAGGGGTTATAATTGTTTAATAAAGCTATCTTTAATTATAAAAACAATGCTCATTAAAAAAACTTAAATAGGTACCCAAGAAAAAAGAAAGAGCAAATCTGGTCTTCAGTGACTTCCTAAATGTGCTTAGAATATTGCAGAGGTCCTCAGTGTAGTAGACATCGAAGGCAGCCTCCCTTCCACCTGGCTCCTGCCCTCAGCCCTCCCCTACAGCCCCAGCCAGGCCTCCCCCTCCCCAGACCCTCCTACTCTGCTCCCTCACTCCCTAGACCAGATTAGTCATTTGCTTCCAGACACAGCATTTGCTTGTTAATTGTGTGGCTGGCCAGGCACACTGCCAACTCCTGGAGGAGAACATCGTTTTCTCCTGTACCCCACATCCAGCACAGTGGTCCAGTAAACATTCCTTGAATGAATCCTTGCACCCAGAGAGCAGCTCCACTCAGTGTGGTGAACATTCATCCTTTCAGAGGGCGTGGATGTAATAAGGCTTCCATAGCATCAATAAAGC